ATGTCAAGATCAAAACAAATAATTATTTTGTGCAACCTTATATGAAATTGCAAGTCCCGTGAAATGTTTGGTGACTGTCATGGATAGAAAACAAGAGGAGAGATTATGGTGAGGAGGATTGCAAAAATGAACAGCATTGCAAGCCCAAAGAACAGGGACAGTTATCGTCTTTTCCAAGGCAGGTCTAGGGGCTGACTGCTCCCTCTCTTGCAAGCTCGCGATTGTTTTTTGAGATCTTTTTTGGGTTGCTATCACTATTATGCAAACAAATAAGATCTGTGATCTATCACCACATGTACATGACCCATTCAGATACCAATGATGTGTTCGATCTGCCAATATCATGAATCCACATCCAATGGTGGCAAGCTTTGTACAGGATGTATTCATGATGTGTATCATCACTGCTGACACATGCTGGCTGAATGGCACCAGACACAATGCAAACACATTCACTGGGCTGCCTGGTGGTTTAGATACCTGCTTTTCCTCCATTTCTGCTGAGACTGAGTTCTTTCAAACTGCTTGTGGCTGCAAGAGCTAACAAGATAGATTTTCAAAAAGAAGTTAGTAATGATGTAGAAAACAAGCTTATGGAGTTGTATTCTGACCTCAACGTTACTGATCTGGACAATGTCTGGAAGAGGCCCCAGAAGCTTTTTTGGAAAAAATTTTAATAAACATTTTTTGATTTTGATAGTGTGGTGATATTGTTTCAAAATTTTGGCAGCTTTACAGTTAATGCGAGCTAATGGTAATTTGAATTTTTATTGGCTATTCTGACACATGTGATGATTGAACATTGCAATATTTGAGCAATATTAATATAGTCATTGTCAAGAACTATGAACTAGCCTGTAGTTTGTTTGTACTGTCATGCAGCTTAGAAGCCTCATTGACAATGTCCATGGATAGCAAGAGTATGGAGTCTTCCAAAGGAGTCTCTAACAGCTCTGCATGTGTGACAGTGTGCATTCTGTGTAAGTGGGAGTTGTAATGCTGTTTATTGCTGGGTGTAGGCCAATTTATCTTCCGTGTGAAAGGTGTTTTTGTGTTGCTTATTTGAACATAGCTATAATAAAATCCGTCAAATTTTTACTTGATTGTTTTTTGAAATTGAATCTATTACTATGCAATGTATACATAGTAGTGGAGCAATTTGAGCACAATTTTATGTAACGTTTATATATTAATACTGTATGCTGGTAAGGTGATCTTCTCGCCTGCTGCGATCTTATGTACTGTAAATCACGTGATTGGCCCTTAAGTTGATTAGCTGAGCAGCGGTGTCGTCCGCGTACGTAACGTCGTCTCGCTCGTTGTCACCGATCCTGTTCCGAGTCCCGTGTCTCGTGTCGTTAGTTCTTCAGCATCGTCCACGGCTGGTCTCGTCCACCTGTTTCAACCAATTTAGACGATCAATTTGGGGGTGGGTTGGTGATTTTAAAGCCGATCGACGTTCGATGATTTATATTAATTTTGGCTGGTGCACCAGTGGTGCACCATATATTAGCTATAAGGTTAGTTAGAGTTAGGGTAAATTTTGCAGATCTGCTGGTGCATCATTGGTGCACCAACCGACTCTTTACTACTGATTAAATAAAGTAATCTTTTTGCCCGCGTTATCCCGACATAAAATAATCTTTTTTCCTCCGTGAGGTCTTGGGTTTCTTTGTAGGGAAGGGTTCCTTGGTCTCCGAAATTAATATGAATCATCGATCGATTTGGGTGGGAGAAAAATTTTTAAACGCCGGTCAAAATTCGAGTTTTGGGGGTTGAAACAGGTGCCTCGTCGTCCTGTCCAAATACGGAATCACATGACCAGTCTATTTATCACGGGACTGCTGATTATTAGGCTACGCCACGATGACTGAAAAATTTCACGTACTGGTAAACACACAACGCGTCCCACATTCCTTCGAATTAACTCCGACCATGGAAAAAGTATACCTCTATTAACTTCGTGAATATGAGACCAGGCTTTCTTCGCCATGTAATACCTGTCCGGCCGGGATGTCCGCTCCCCGGTTGGCTGTTCAGGTCTTCGGCCTTCAGAATGGGCCACTGTTGGCCAGTCCTTCAAACCTGTTGCTTAAATTCTAACTCTAATGAAAGAGTTAGCTTTTCTCGCCATGTAATACCTGTCCGGCCGGGATGTCCGCTCCCCGGTTGGCTGTCCAGGTCTTCGACCTTCGGAAAGGCGATGAAATATTTATTGCATCCGATTTAACAACGCTTTGAAGGATCCCTGGTCTCGTGCAAACTAGAATATGTTTCGTAGCCAGAACAATCATACTAAACACGTTATTCTCTGTTGCTATTTGCGTAAGGCGCCAATTTACGAGAAAGAAGTGACCTTTCTGAAAGATATGATTATCCATCCGTTTAAACCGGTCAAATTTTATAAAAAATTTCGAATCGAATGTGACACGAGAGAGAATGCCGAGTCTCATCTTCTAGGCGCTCTTTCACGCCTTTGTCAAAACGTTAATAAACAATACGCTGATCCGGCAAAACGGCTAATTGGAAGGTTTGACTCGATAACAAAGTCCAAAGTTTGTGAAGATTATTGGAACGGGGTTGAGATCAGACAGGTCACTCAACGAACAAAGAAAAGAGCCATAATACATAAGGCTCACATTGAATACAACGTCTACGAGGAGCACGACAGTGTCAGCAACGCCATAACTAATCGTTTGGAATCGGACAAAGCGATAATTTCCGACTACAAAGAAAGAGAAAATCCCGGTAACGATTTGATTGCCCACAACACCGTCAAGGCATCAGCCTCGCAGGACAAAAGTAAGATGTCAACCTTCTCCAGTTGGTGTCAAAACATGTAAAGTCTCCACTTTAAGGCATTAAAGGCCGTTTCATCGTCAATTTTTTAGTCGATTCAAGTATCCGAAAGCCCACGCGGGAAGCGACAAATGAGGTAAGCGAACAGATTCGTACAGTCAAGTGCAACAGCAGTAATTTTTGACTTTGATTCCCGCGAATGCCAACCACCACAGGACGAGTAAGTACCAACGAAATTCTTTGCGATATGAATAACACGTAACTATGCTTACCAGAACATTGATGACTTCAATAATCATAGGATAGTCATTGATGTGATCGGGCCCGCGATTGAAGACGAGATAGATGCCGACAAGCCGCAGAAGATGACTGACAAAGAGATGAAGGAGTTCGAAAGCACTTACCGTTCTATGGCCCAAAATGCCAAATGGGTGTTGAGCACAGGAAAAGTCGTCGAAGATGAGCTATTCTTATTCGGGAAAAGATGTAGATTTGAGCAGTGAGTTAAATTTCTCGTCGCCGTCTGTGTGCATTTGTAACATTCAATGCAAATGACAGTATTGCAGCCTCTGCCACTCGTTCATCCTAGATCCAAACGATAAAACCTATACCTTACACAATGTCTCCAGTGAAGAGGAATTGCTTGAAATGATTAAAACCTCTACCCTGCGTTGATTTTACAACCTTGGCATACCTGGCTGAATTTCAGCTAGTATGGATCATCACAATGATAGTTGGTCTTATCTCTCTAAAGCTGCATCTCATTGATAATATTCCTCTGACTGGCATTTCAGAACACGACAGCAAGCATCCGTCAGACATTAGACAAGAACTTTAAATGGCAAAATGAGTTTGATCACACTAAGCATTTTGACCTTGACTGGATCTGATTATTGATTTATAATTTGTGAGTATTGACATCATTGACCATGACAAGCACAAACCCGATCTTGTTGTTAATGCTTGTGGTATTGTTGATGCTTAGGCTGGTCGAATATGAGGCAGGCTTGTTTACAGCAGATCATCTTGAGGACTGGTATAATATCCATCTATGGCCATTCATTGACCGATCATTGGATGATTTTGACAGGGTGGCAGCAATTCGGTGAGTTACATTTGAGTTCTTTGGATCATTGCTGAATTTACTAATCACTTTTGCAGTGGTGAATCATGTAGCCTTGCAAGTGCAGCAAGAAAGAACTGAAATCGGGTTGTGGAAAGTGTTTTATCTCTTGTTAGAAAGAAGATAGGCAGACGTGGGGATTTAATCATTCGAAGAGGGGAGTGTGAGTTTGGTGCAGGTGAAAATGGTTGCAAGTTTGATGGAGAGAATGGAAGCAAGCTGTTGAGAGAGCATGGTTTGAAGTTGCCGAAAATGTTGAAGGATATATTCATTGAGCTGAGTCAAGTATGCCAGCATGAAGAAGCAAAGACCAGAAATTTACAGACGCTGGGATTTGTACATTCAGGTAAAGAATTTGAATTGAGCAGAGGACTGTCTTTGCTGATGTCTAATCATCTTTATGCCACTCGCAAAGGTCTGTACATGATGCTCTTGCTGCTTGACCAGCCAGCAGGATACATTTGTAGGGTCACAAGATCAAAAATGGAGAAAGTGTCAGAGGATGTCTCCCAGTTTCCTGAGACTTTGTCTGTTCTCACATTGACACTCAAGGCCAAGGTTTGTCTGGTTCTCACTGTGTTTAAATTTTGTATGGTTTGTTAAATCTATCATTCATTTGCATAATTTCACTTAGATGATTATTAAGGAGATCATCTGCCTCTTGGAAGGAAGAACACCAGAGACCAACAATGAGTTTATCAAACATCTACAGCAAGCAGGATGTGATGATGTCCTCAATACTAAGTATAGTATCCCTCTGTGCAATACAACTCCAGTTAAGAAACGTCATTGTAATAACAAATGAGTAATCTTGCATATTTTGCTATCACTTAGTTCATTTGCAAATGGTTTCATAAACATGTAGCACAAATATAGTTAATTTGCATACCACTTATGCAAATTTTAGTTCAAAGCACAGGTGTAGTGCTTAGCTAAACACCCTATCTTGCAAATAATTTGATTCAAAAAAAAAGGCATTTTGAATAAAAATTTATGCATAAGAAATAGCCAACAACTCTCTTATTTTTGGTTTTGATATTGATATGGTTTGCTTAACAGCTCTTCTTCCTCTTGGTAAATTTCATAAGTAAAATTTCCTTTATCTAAATACAGGTTATAAGAAACATCATATAAAAATCTGGCTATAAGAACATGAACCATCGAAACAGATTTTCAAAATACTAAGTAATTTCACTGGTTATAAGAACATTTTTCTTGAAAAAACATTGTGGGACAAACGTGGTTTTTATAACCAGAGCTGACTGTATATGTATATGAAAAATAGTGAAATGATTCTACGGAGTATGATCAAGCAATTCACTTTTAGAAGGCATGTTAGTATGTCATTGAATTAAGATAAAATATCAAAGCTATAATATGTTTAATATAGGATTATCTCTATATAAAAATAATTTATATGAAACTAATCTACATCAAATCTGCTATGGAACCAAAAAACTACAGCACAATTAGAAGCATTTTAAAAAAAGAACAAGGTGAAAAAATTGCACCATATATTTTTAAATTAACAGATACCAAATCTTTGCAAGCATATTTAGACAAAGAAAAAATTACTTATGAAGTTTATCAAGAGAAAAGAGTTTTCAAACGAGTGTTAGACAGTTCTAAACAAGAATCAAGCAAGAAAAGAAAATTCTAAAACAAACAATTTAAGATTTATTCGACTTTTTTAATTTTAATTACTTTTTTACTTTCAATCAAGATCATCTTTTGGGTTCTTTAACTTCAATTTGAGCAATTTGTTGTGAAGTTAACTTTTCTAATTGAACTTTTAACTTTTTGACTTCCTCCTTGTAATTGCCATTCTCTGCTTCTAATTGCTTAATTCTATCTAAAAGTTTTTTTTTTGTCTTTTATGCCAATCTTCTGCTACTACCAAAGCCTCCAAATGAGTTTCTACCTCTTCCGTTAATTCTCTTTCTTTTTCTCTCAAACTATTTATCTGCCTTTCATAAAAAGTTGCTTCTCTTTCTTCATGTGGTAAAACTGGCAGTTCTTTTTCATCAACATTTTCATTATCTCTAATACAATCACAAAGATAACTACCACTAATATCTAGGCTATGTCTATTTTTCAGTCTTCCACATCTCTCACATTTTGCTAGTCCATCATTCTCAAATTTCTCTTTACAACTCTCGCATGCTTCATCATTAGCAATTATTTCATGAGTTGCTTTGCTCCTAGTTCGGATTTGACAAACAGACTTTCTAAAACAAAAACAACAAGTTGAATTTTTATTTCATTCTTCTAGTTTTAATACTGTATAAAGCAGTTCTCTCATAATGCTTTAATTTCTAACCTCTATTTGAGCAACTAATTCTTGTTTTCAGTGGTTAACCTTTTCTATCAGATGTTGAAATTTATAAGGTATTCTTGTCTTTTGTAATCCAAAGGAGGTGGACTTAACACTAAAACAGAGAAAGTTTTAATTTCTTTAGTAATTTTAGAAATATTTACCTTTTTGTTTTTTCACAAATTAAATTCAGTAAAAGATCCATTAGCAACTGTTTGAGTTTTAACAATGCCAGGATTAGCAGCTTCAAAAAGAAAATGTTGGTATTTTTGCAAACCATTTAATTTTCTAAAGAAAATGTTTAAAACAGAATTAATTGAAAACCCTTTCCATTTTCATAACATTGAGCTTTATTATTATTCAAACCTGCTGAACTGGATTTTCTCACTACTTCAACAATATGATCCACACAATCTACAGTGGTTTTTCTGTAAAGCTTTTTAATTAATCCAAAACTACCATTGCATTTAAATTTAGTGTGTCCAGGAATCATGAAATTTAATTCAATACTTTCATAATAGCCACAAATCACTAAATACAAATAAAACCAGATAGTTGTATTATTTTTATTCTGACCACCAGCATTATCACATGTAATTTTTAAATGTTTTTCTCCTTTATTCAATTTTTTAATGCCATCAAAAATTAGACTAAGTGTGCCATTAGGGCCTTTGCCAATGATTTCATTTTCATTCAAAACATAATTAAGTTGTTCTCTAGTTGCTTCATTTTGAATGCCAAATAAATGCACTTTGCGACAACTAAGGTAATAAATCTTTCCTACCTGCTGATCTGAATGTGGCACATGAACATTTTGTGCTCAATCATAACTGTAATGAGCAGTAGCATCAATGCTACAATATTGTGTTTTGCCTTGTGTATAATTTTGATCAACTAATTTTCTTTGTTCTTCTGCCTGTTTGGTATTTTCATTATAATAATTTCTTTCTAATTTGGCTTTAGCCAAATGATCTTTAAATTTCTTTAACAAATCTTTGGCTTCTTCCTCTTGACGAGCATTGTATTGTAAACCATTGCGAAAATGTTGACAAGTGTCACACAAATCAGTTCTTGGACTTATAATTTGAATTTCTGGTGTCAATTGATGTCACAGTTTTCTAAAGGCATCATACTTCAATAATTTCAAATTGCTGTCTTCTTCTAAATTTGACAAGAAGTTATGATAAACAGATTTGTAAGTTGTTTCTGCTGATAAATATATAATTGATTGAGTTATTCTATTGACACTTCTTCCTGGACTTGGTAAGCCATGAATTTCAGCATAATTTTCCAGAAAATTCTTTACAGCAGTGGCAACATTTTGGTCAATTACCATTTTTGTTTTTCATTGAGGCATTCTTTTGATATTACCATGAAGTCTTGAAATCAAACCATTGATAATCAAATGATTTCTAATATTTTCCAAGTAAGTTCTACCAATACCTAACATATTAAGATAAGTTTCTTGACAGAGAGGTGTGTTGTGATTTCAACAATAGAAAGTTTTTTTGTTAGATCTGGTTTTCTTTTTCAGATGTCTGCTAGTGCTTGAAAGGCCTCTCGTAATTCAGCAAAACTTTCCTTTGGAACTTTGGCTGAGCAACCACAATGGCAGCCTCTTTCCAAGAAATTAATTGCTTGTTCATATTCAATGGAACCACTATTTTTCATATACATATAACCCTATATATTAAATTTTAGTATTTTATAGTATTGAAAATGTATCAAACAGCATTACTATAGACTGAATTATCAGTATTATAGATATATAAATATATATGTATATATATTTATAGTCTTTTGTTTTGACTTATTTATTATTTGCTGTGATTTGCATACAATTTCACATCAACATATTTTTTCCCTCATCATACCTAATTTCCTCCACTGTTGCCATCCTATTAAGAGACCGAGCCCATTTCACAAACAGTCTTATACCATCATTGTGTGGAAGTTTGACCATGACTTCATGCAATAAATCAAGCCTATCTGCTGCTGCATTGACTCCAAAGCCATACCCCTCCCAAGGCAGCTTTCCTCCACACCACATCCAAAGTAAAGTATATGCTAAAGATACAAGATCATCAACTGGTGTCCTTTGTATCTTCGTCATTGCATCAAGTACCATTAAAGTTTCATTCATATTGAAAGCTAAGTTGCATTGCAATAAGTCTAAAAAATGTCACTTGTCGGACTAGCTTACACCTGGGAGAGCGGCGGTGTACTAGCCGTTTTGGGATTTAGTTCGTTTCCAACGGAAGCT